ATTGCCGCCGTCTTCTCACGCAGATATTGACGGTGCTCACCATCATCTGACGTCGTGGCGTTCCTCTTGAGTCCCTTGACTCCCGGAGCCTCTCACTGGGATGCCGCTCCGTCCGCCGCACACGACGCAACAGGCTATTGCCGCCGTCTTCTCACGCAGATATTGACGGGGCTCACCATCATCCGACGTCGTGGCGTTCCTCTTGAGTCCCTTGACTCCCGGAGCCTCTCGCTGGGATGCCGCTCCGTCCGCCGCACACGACGCAACAGGCTATTGCCGCCGTCTTCTCACGCAGATATTGACGGGGCTCACCATCATCTGACGTCGTGGCGTTCCACTTGAGTCCCTTGACTCCCGGAGCCTCTCGCTGGGATGCCGCTCCGTCCGCCGCACACGACGCAACAGGCTATTGCCGCCGTCTTCTCACGCAGATATTGACGGTGCTCACCATCATCTGACGTCGTGGCGTTCCTCTTGAGTCCCTTGACTCCCGGAGCCTCTCGCTGGGATGCTGCTCCGTCCGCCGCACACGACGCAACAGGCTATTGCCGCCGTCTTCTCACGCAGATATTGACGGGGCTCACCATCATCTGACGTCGTGGCGTTCCTCTTTAGTCCCTTGACTCCCGGAGCCTCTCGCTGGGATGCCGCTCCGTCCGCCGCACACGACGCAACAGGCTATTGCCGCCGTCTTCTCACGCAGATATTGACGGGGCTCACCATCAGCTGACGTCGTGGCGTTCCTCTTGAGTCCCTTGACTCCCGGAGCCTCTCGCTGGGATGCTGCTCCGTCCGCCGCACACGACGCAACAGGCTATTGCCGCCGTCTTCTCACGCAGATATTGACGGGGCTCACCATCATCTGACGTCGTGGCGTTCCTCTTGAGTCCCTTGACTCCCGGAGCCTCTCGCTGGGATGCTGCTCCGTCCGCCGCACACGACGCAACAGGCTATTGCCGCCGTCTTCTTACGCAGATATTGACGGGGCTCACCATCAGCTGACGTCGTGGCGTTCCTCTTGAGTCCCTTGACTCCCGGAGCCTCTCGCTGGGATGCCGCTCCGTCCGCCGCACACAACGCAACAGGCTATTGCCTCCGTCTTCTCACTCGGATGTTGGCGGGGCTCACCATCAGCTGACGTTGTGGCGTTCCTCTCGCAACCCGTCGCAGAAAGTGAGCGGGATCCTGTCGACTGCACCAGTCAACTTTCCGGGGGAGGGCCTGGACCTGGTGGTATGGGGATGGGCGCGTCCTGGTCCGGATGGTAACGACCGATGACGGTGCTCGCCCGATGACAGCCCGCGGGAAGTTGATAATAAAAAAATACTAAACTAAAAGTTGTTCGATCCCGCTGAACACATTGCGACGTTCGTTGGCTTTACAGTGGCCAGTGTGGCCACGTTTATTTTGAAACAAAACAACTCAACAGTGAGTTAAAATCCCAAAATTAGACCCCGTACTTTTGTTCCCAGTCTCCCAAAATCGAATCGAAGCCAATCCTCCATAATCCTCTCGGGGACCCCTTTGTAGACTCGCAGGGGCCTCCTTTCCCCTCAGGGACCGACCAATCCCTTCAAATTTCACCACTCCCACGTGGTACACTGTTCTCCAATGGTCGGCGAGCTGTCAGCCTGGCAGTCCAACCGCCAAACCTAAATTCCTTGTAGAGTTGTTCCCTGCAATTTTCCCAGTCTGACTGGCGCCAACCGCTAAGTTATTGCATCGGGCAAAAAGCGACAATTTTACAATTAGCGGCAAAACCCTCTATATACAGGCACATTCGGCTAAAAGCTACACGATTCTCCAGGCGGTGGCTCTCCCGGTCCCGGTCCGAGCGGAGTCCCGAAACCTGAGACGCTTCTTAACGACCGCGAGGGGAACCGCTCCCGCACTGCGGCCGCTCTGGCCCCGCCGACACAAACATAGAAAGCTAAAAAAAAAGAAAAAAAAGAAATGCCGACGCAACATTGGAAAGGTAAACTTTCCTAACAAAAATCACCTGAACTAATAAGCAGGATTTCTACAAACTTAACAACCACCAACTGTAACCTGGTGGCCAGATCCTCCCTGGTGAACGTCTTTTGGCTCTCTCCGTCTCTGATGCCGCGTATGCAGGCACACTTGTTTTCCGCTGCGACCCAACCTCGGAAGGTCTGCAGAAGAAGGCCTCCTCCAAGCCACGACACGGAACCTGTCGGAGCACGTTGGCCGACTCTCTACTCTCCACCGGAGCCCCACGAGGCGGTAGCCGTGCCTACCACGCCGGGTTGCGCATAGAAACGGCATGCATGCCTCCTGCCGCACGTAGGGCATCGGATCCTGCTGCGACAGTTCCTCGAGTGCTGTCGGATCCCCTCCTCGTACAGCGGAAACATCTGTTGTCCCGTGAAAGCCGTCTCTTTCTCTCCTCCAAATAGTTCCCGGAAGAACAGGTATTGATTGGTCTGATAATCTTACCCGTCGCAGAAGAAACAGGCGTCCTCCACACTGCCCGAACTCTGCAACACCAGTGTCGAGCGAAGCCCGCCGGTCTGTTGAAGCCTGGAGGGCTTGTGGATTGTCGCCCGCCGATCGACGTGCGCTCGCGGCTCTCAATCTCCACTCGTAAGAACCTCAACAGCAGCATCAATTCTTTGCCCGCATCCGTCGATGCTGCAGACATGGTGTCCGAGTTTGTCCCGTTGTCGGCAGTAGCTGCCCCCTCCTCGGCAGGAATGCGAACACCCAGCCGTGTCCCGTAGCGGGTGATGCGATGGTACTCTACAACGATGCTCGCTGGCAGGCCAGACAACAGTATGTCTGTCTTCATAGCGGCGTATGTCGCACTCGACACGCCCAAAGATCGCAATCCGCGTATGTTGGTTTGTACGTGATCGTAGACGTCTCGTTGCCCCTTGACGTCGCGCTCAGATTTTACGCTCGGGAGACTCCGCAGCTTCCCGAGATGCTCGCGCTCGATACGTCGTTTGTGTCCGAAACGCTCGGTCAGTATCTCCACTGCATCTTTGTAGCCCGCCACAGTTGCCTGAAGTCCCGATATCGCGTTGGCAACCGGTCCCACAAGAAGCGAGCGAGCGCAGATGCTGAAACTTTTCGGCATCAGAGAGGCTCGTGTTCCGGTTGACCGCGGCGTCGAATTCTTCCCGAAACGGTTGCCACTGAGCACGGTGTAAGATAATACTCTTCAGGTAAGGACAGTGCGCTCCTCGCGCAGTGCAGATAAAGTTCGCTTTTCACTCTCTCTCTTTCTCTCTCTCTCACTATGGTTTCAAGCGGCGCCGGCAGATGACTCGTCGACCCGTGGGCACGGCAAAGACGGCTCGTGCCGCCTCATGCTCCACACGCGCAGAGCTCCAGCGAGGTTGTCGCTTGTGCAAAAAGACCACGGTGTACCGGGGTGTCATGGCAACGAGATAATGTTTTTCGCTCTCACACAGTTTCGCCGTCTGGCCGCCGGCGACACTGTCAGCCGCGAGCACGGTCGCCGCGGAATAATTCAGCCTTTCGGATGCCCATCGAACGAACACTATCTGATTCCTCGCGCCGCGCGTTCAGCGACGCCGTGTCCTCACCTAAAGAGTGTATCTTACACCGTGCCACTGAGTCAGCTCACCTTGGGAAGTAAAGGAGCTGTAACTTCGGGAGCTTCACTCCAGTCCCGTGGGAAGAGTCGCCTCTGCCGCCGGTCATGTATCTGGAGGGAGCTCACGGACGGCGGCTGCTGCACTGCCTTGACTTGCACTTCGCCGACGACCGTGGCAACCTCGTCCTCGAAGTCCGCCACGACAACATACTCTTCGTCCAGGTCGTCGTCGGCGACAAGGGGTTCAATTTCCTCATTCACCTTCCACACTCCTCGTTGCTGGAAAGAAGCCCGTTTCACAGGGTGTTCCCGCTGTCGACGTCGATGGTGGCCGACTGAAGCGCGATTACAAGCTCGTTAATGAGCTTGTATTGCGGCTCCGTCGAACGGTACGTTTTCGTTTGATTCCATCCATTCTCCGTCCCTGAAGCGTCACTCACTTGTTCACTGTCCCGGGTTTGGGCACCAAATGTTGCGCCTTAACGGCGCTCGTTTCAAACAGACAGGAGGCGACCAGCTCTCTCGTGACGATAGTTCATTTAGACTGCCTCGGTATTTTTCAAGTACCGGAAAGCCGACGCCCCTCTCCTCCCCCTATCTTCTCTCCGCTTGGTGGAGGGAGTCGCCCATCTGGAAATCACGCACGCACGCACACACATACACGCACGCACGCGCACGCACACACACTGGTATAGGAGGGAAACCAAGTTCGGATCGCAGCTTGTTTTCCAACAACGCCATGGCGTTGTTGGAGTTGTGTGGATATTTAGACAGTGTGTAGTTGGTCAGCCATTTCAAAGTTGCGACTATAGTCACTCGCTTTAGATGAGAAATTTGAGAAATTTAGCCAGTGCGGTACAACCGCTAGCCTGGGGTCTTTAACGTGCACCACGCAGTAGTGATACACGACCGCACGCCGGTACGATGCTCATCCAGATCGAAACGGGCAGGGGTGGGGATTGAGCCCAGGATCCCTGGGTTCTGCAGCTCGAGCTTTCGCTCCATGCACGTGCTCCGAGCTGGTGTGCGCTAACCCACTCGGCCACCGACCTCCCCGCGTTTCACTCTTACCGCTCATTCCCACTTTAAGCGGATCCGCGTTCGCAAAGAGGTTGTGAACGCCGGTTGTATAAAGATCCAGTAAAATTTCACGCGCATTTGATGTCATCAAATGCGCGTGCAATTGTACTGGACCTTTATACAACCGCGTTCGCAACCGCTTTGCGAACGCGGATCCACTTCCAGTGGGAATGAGCGGTTAAAGGCGAAGTTTAAGCACCCGCCAAGATTTTTTAGGAGTGCGTGTTTCGCCATTCAATGTTCAGCCATGCCGGTAGCGCTTTCAGAGCTTTGAGGAGATGTCCATTGCCCGTTCGCACACCGTCCTGCTGTTCCGGAACAATAAACAGACACCGTCTCGAAGACAAAAGATGTCGTTTTTAATACGCAAATATATATATATACATATCAAAATTAGTTTTTCTTTTTCTACCGGTTAAAGCACACAAAGACAAATCATGGGCCAATACCATGGGCTGTGTACACTCGGTGCAAATCACAAGTTACTATTTCGTTCTTTACTGTTTTTCTTTTATCTTAAGTCTCGCAACAATTATTATTTTTGTCATTGAATATAAGCCGTCGGAAATTACGTTATAAACGTCCGAAGTAACATTTGAAAAAAAAAAATAAAAAGTAAGAACTACGCAAGGCACAGCGTAACATGAACGCGTTGTAAAAAAGCCTACACTTGCGTCCCTAGATTGACTTTTGTGGACACACGCTGTCCTAATATACCTCAAAGATTAAAAAAAAAAAAATTAAAATGGGTCAAAATTGAACGGCACGCGTTATCGTCAGCTCTAAGGCACAGTACACACCCTGCGACAAACGAGATGCTCGACAATAATTTTTGGGGGCCTTGACTAGGACCCGCGCTGCCTTCCCGGCAGTGTTCCAAGGCTGGGCTCAGCGCGATTCAACGAGCTCCCGCTCCTCCTTGTGCAGCCCGCTGGGTCCGTTGTCGGGCTTGAGCTCCTTGCGTACCCTGTATCCCCTGAAGGCCGCCTGGATCTTGGTGGCCGCGGCGGCGGTGCTCGAAGGGTCAGACTCCCCGCTCGCCTCGCTCTGGTCCGCGTCCGCCGTCTGGTACTCCGAGTCGTCTGCGCAAGAAGGGACGCGGAGAAGAGCCGCGTGAACTTGGCGCAACGCGCAACGGTGATCTACACCAGTAACAACACCTATACTCGCATTCACCTCAAGAACCGCAGTAAAAGAGGTCCGGCTCGTCGGGGAACGTTCCCCCCTTCACGTGTTGAAATGAGATATATGTGTGTGCATCTTGGTCTTTTATCGATACGATATAGACGCTTTCAGCGCGAACCAGGTTGAGCCGCCATCCGACCTTCTCTTGTCTTACCGAGATGCCGAGCCACTGAAGCGGGCCTTGACGAGTCTCCAGAAGGGCCTATGCTGGGGAGAAGGACACAGTAACACTTAAAATGTCAATAACCGGTCCTGCTGTTGTAATGATGAAGTGGAGCGAACGGAATACTAGGGAACAAAAACTGAAGGTCAGTTATGGCGGCGCCTATGCACAGCTGCCTGAAAGCGTCTATATGCACTTTTCAAACACCGAAAGCATCGTTTCTTTCCTTTTTTCGACACGCCAATCTTGTAAGAACTTCTCCGCGCAGCGCATGGTTGATGCGCAAAACTTCCTTTTTAATAATGTTGGATTTTCTACGTCAGGTACCGGAGGCCAGCGCCTGGCACCGATTGGACACGAGCGCTGCGTCGGCGTTCGGTTCGAACTCGTGTCCAAGCGGTGAGGAGACGAGTCCGGTATTGGTGATGGAGACAGGCCAGCGCTATAAACTGTTTTTTTTTTTTTTGGAGGGGGGGGGGGGGGGGGGAGGAGGGGGCTGAGGTGTTTGAGTTGGCTCTTACGACGAAAAGGACACACCGGCACCACCTATCGGGTAGCAGTGAAACACTGGGCGGTCCCGTATATTTTAAATTTTTTTCGCGCATCATTCTTTTTTTCTTGGCTCTAAAATCTTATGTCAATGTTATATACGAACATTTCTCATAAGTAGTACGTACAGTTGACTTCGCAAATACTGCCAAACCTTCGCTCTAGTAAAAATACAGTTCCAGGGTCACCCCATAGATGGCGCCAGCGTGTCCGTGTGTTCTCCCGTCGTAAGAGATTGTAACAAGTGTTTAAAAAAAATATTTTTAAACAGTATGAATGGGACACGCGTTCAAAAAAATAATTTTACGCAAAAAAATTAATATAAAGATTAGAGCAATGTTGAAGGCGCGAGACACGATTAAGTTGGTAGTCACCCCCTGTCCTCTTGTTTTCTCTCGGCATTTCGGGCGCTTGGAGGAGAGGTGGATCTTGACATCATGGACTTTGTGCGCAAAATTTCAAATAAATCTCTCACCGTCAATAGTGCTTGAAATTATTTTTTTTCGTATGAAATTTATTTCTTGACACGCCTCTCCCAACCAGACTGTTAAAATTTTTTTTATTCCGGGTTATTTCTGGGCGCTCGGTTCTAAGGAGTCGCGAGTGAGTGAACGGGTCTTCAGCGCTCGGTTTCGATCCAAGTCTGAGCCAAAAGTAGACGCAATCGTCGTGTCCAATCTGGGACCAGCGTTGGCCTCCCCTGATGACGCAATCTCACTACGGGTTTGTTATCTAGGAAGTGTTTACCCTCCCCCCCCCTCCCCCTTTCTTTCCAACCTCCTCTAAACCTTTATGTTACAGGAAACAAAAAGAATCCCTCAGAGAAGATGGGAAAACGTTGTATTGTATTTCTGCGTCCTGATTTTATGTTTCTTATCCTTATCAATCATCCGCTGATTGATCCCAATGAGTGATCAGGCGGACCAGTGGAGTGATTTTCGTCTGCTGCGTTTGCCTGACGGGCACCCTTTGTCATCAAATTACTGAAATACACAGGGATTTTTTTTTTTGACTTCTTGTTCGGGTTTTGAAGATTTTTTTTTAACCGTGAAAGCTACACTAATCCAGTTTGTGCATGTGAATTATACGGCCAAGGGGAAAATAATACAGGGTGCCAATCGTCACGAAAAGTAGAATGATTACCTAAAGTTTGGTAATTAATTTTGAATAAAAATAACCACATGGTTTTAATTATACACCTGATGAGCGACACAGAAAACCAAAAAAAAACAGTAAATTGTGAAAACATTTCGTGGCGCGTACTCCGTTTTTTTGGATCTCGAAAATCCCTCCACTTCTGGGTATGCAAACTGGCGCTGTGACCGTGGCGAGCCGGAGAAAGTTCACGGCAAAGCCGGGGACTCCTCGCCACGGCACGCTCCGGCAAGCTACCGCGTCCCGCCCCGTGACGTGTTCCATGACGAAACCACTAGATGCTACCAATCACGTTCACGAGCGGGGTGGAGAGGAGGTCAAGGCTTCGGCAAAGCTTGCGTGGCTCGGGCGTCGTCGCGGCGTCGCCCGACTCCCGAGCGTGTGTGTGTGTAGGCGTTGTACGAAGATATTAGACTCCCGAGCGAGTCCACGCACCGTGCGCGTGGAAAGAGACATTTCCATTGGTGGGCGGCGGGCCGGTGGGCCAGTCACAGCGCTTCGCCTTCTCTCACCACCACGACTCGCTGTCGTGTTCAAACAGAAAAACGGAAAGGGAGTCCAGCTTTTTTTACGGAGCGGTGAGCCGCCCACAACCCACGCAGACTCTTTTTTTTTTTTTTTTTGAGTGTATCAACGTAGGGGTTTTCCAAGTTTTTTTATGTCAAAATGGAAGAAAAAACGTTGTTGTAGTCTATTGAGGTATTTATTTAATTATTCACTCGTTGAGAACACCTTTGAGGTTCATTCATTCCATTAAAGAAGGAGAAATTATTTTAAGTTTTCTGTAGTCGAGCTTTGAGTAATAAAAAAACATACACAGATAAAACAACATAAACGGGAGCAAAATCACTGACTTCGTCACGTGGCTATCCTGGAAACACTGCAGCAGTTTTTCGTGGAGATTCCACTAGAAAATATTCTTACTTCGACCATGAAAAAAAGAAAAAAAAAAAGAAAACGTGGTGACAAAGAGAAGAGATTTTGACATAGGCTTACCGTGCTGCGGCTGGGGCGACCGCTCGTGCAGGTTCTTCCTGGTAAGGTATCCCCGGACTCCGGCCTGGATCTTCACCACGGCCGTCTCGATGTCCTCCAGCTTGGGGCTCAAGCTCCGCCTGTCCCCTTGCTCCACGTGCAGAAGCAGCAGCTCGGAGGGCTTGGGCTGCTCGCCGCCGGCCCCTTCGAACTCCAGTCGCGTGGCCGAGCTCACCTGCACCGAAGCTCGGGCTGTGGGCGACCGACGAGACCGCGTTTTCTACCGCGTTTGCCCACCACCTCCTAAGCGGCCGGCGCGAAGCGAAGATTGGAAACCGAGCATTGCGTCAGTGTTCGGCTAAGATTCGCGTCCAGTCAGCGAGAACACGAGTCCGATCCGAATGCTGACGGACCGCTCGTATCCAATCCCCGCGCTGGCCTCTGCTACGTGACGTAGCAAATCCAACACTGCGGCCTTGTTCGTTTCGCCTTCCGATGGACCGCAGTGGACGCTTCGAGCCCTCCAAGCCAATCCACTGCAGTGTGGGTGTCACGTGATCTTCTGAAAGGGCGGAGCGATGCGTAAGGCAGTCACGTGATACGTGCACAATGCTGGATTGGCCGGGATGGCTCCCAACGTTTGCCGGAATCCCTCCCTTCCCGGTTTCCCTGAAATATTTACGAGATATTACGTATTGCGCAACATGGAAACATTTCGCGTGAAGGCGACACTCGGTGTAATAAATCGACGTTAATCGGTATATATATATATATATCTGTGTGTGTGTGTGTGTGTGTGTGTCCTGCTCGGGAACAACTGCAGTGCGCAGAATCGGGGGAAAAAAGGGTTCATGAAATTGGCGGAGAACGGTCTAAAGTAAAGAGTAATGCAATCACGAACAACAAAGTTCTCCCAGTTCTCATTATTATCAAATCTGGGGCATTTAAAGTGAGAGGGATAAGGAATAAAACGAAAGTAAATGCCGAATAAGCGAGTAATATTTCGGTGTCTAGATATTTCCTATTGATTCACCAAAATAGTATTCGGCGTACATTTACCACTCGGCGTATTATACGTGCCCAAAACCAAATTCACTATCGCAACGTGAACTAAAAGAAACACTAGAAGTGGTTTCCAAAACTTGTTTTTGAGAGTGTAGTCAATCGTTAGCGGAAATGCAGGCCACCGGTCCTTCTATTCGTTTCGCATTCCTTTCAGAATTTTTTTTTTTTTAAATAATAATGGCCAAGTTTTAATTTCTGACTCCAAGGGATGGGGAAATGCCGGAGCGATAGACGTAAACACAGAACTGGAACAAATGCGATCGTGGCAGCACGACACGCAGTTCGATATGGGTATTTTCACCTGCTTGCTTTATTTTTTTCACGGATTATCCGGCATCATACTTCATTAAAGTACGCGACTGTAACGTTAAGGTTACACGTTCGAATCTTAGAAATGTAACGGGAACCCGTTTTTTTTTTCGAACCACTGGAACCTGTAACGGAAACGCGTTTCAAGAGATGGCTATAGAAGTGGGAGCATTTATACAGCTGAACAACATTATTTAAAAGAGATAATAACAAACACTACAAAAGGAAACCTATTAATAAACATAAATGTTGTTAGTTCAATAGTTGCTGAAGGGCACGGAATTGAGAAATGTTGAAACAAAATTGGGCACTTGTAACAACTGTAACACAATTCAGGCCCTTAAACACTCACATAGTCATAGTCAATAACACAGTAGGTATGCTTCTTTTTAAAACGAGAGATGAAAGCGATCACATGTTGTACACACTAACGTAAAGTATCGATAGAAAGTAAATAAATTCTACGCAAACGAGTGAACACACATCTTGTCAATTACAATTACTGCCTCAATACTGTAGCTCGTGAAACTCGCACTTTCGAAACCCTGCAATGGAGGCTCGCTAAATGTTATTCGACGCCACCATCGAAGGAAGAAGCGGAGCCCTGACTAGTCGATGAGTTTCGCCACCATAGTCACTGACGGTGTAAGAACGGCAGGGCGTGTCTATCGAATTCCCAGGCTCCAGCACGTGCTCCGTGCCTTCCGCCGTGCCTGGGCTGGGCACTCTATGTGCACCGGGCATATCCTCCTTTTTACTCACAAAGCCTGGCAGTTCGACGACGGAGCCATACAGTGCCCGGTCGCAGATTTGGAGCGCGAAGATCTGGTAGCACAGAGCATCAAAGAGGCATTTTTCGGGGAAACTTGACGTCAGCGCATAGCTTTTGCAGCGGCGAGGGCCCGAAACACACTTGTTCGCTCGGGAGAAGTGTGTTTCGGCGTCTTGCCGCAGCGAAGCGCCAGTCACGTAGCTTTCCTCTGATTCGTTGTCCGCCGCTCTACCTTTTTCATTTCGGCGGCCGCTTCTCGTGGCGATCTGCCAGGCTTTGTCAGTGTATAGGAGGCTATGTGCACGGGATGCCCAAGCGTTGCCGAAGGTAGAAAGCTCGTGTTGGAGGCGGGACAACTGAGGCTCCTCCCTGCCCTTCTCACCTTGTCGGTTACTATAACAGCTAGTTTTTAACCGAGCGACTATGCCGTTCGACAACAAAGCAACACATCTCGCTCGGACAGCCTAGGTGTTTCCGAAACTTGCAATGCCTACGTGCTAGCTGCTCACCTGCTGATTAGCGTGTTCGGTGTTCGTTTTGCTCTTGCCAGATTCGAACTCTTGTTGAGCTCTTTCCTTTAGAAACTCAATCTTCTCCTTGTCACTCCCGAACGCGTCTTCGGAGGCATGCTTCAGGGATTCCGATGCCCCAACGACGGACGAGATGACATGATCAACGAGCAACTCAGCCTGGGATTTGGCCGAATCGAACATTTCTTGCGAATCGGTCTGCAGGCACTCCGAAGGTTTTTTCCCGAATCCATCGAAGGACTTCTCTTTCCCGGCTTGAAATGCAGCCGTTTCGGGTGATCCTAACACCTCGGTCCTGGAAGCGCCCTTCGTCGCTTCGTCTTTGTTCTCACGTCCAAGTGGGTCGCGGTACGCGAGTTCCAGAGCTGCCTGTGAACTCAGCGCGGCAAATTTTACCTGATCCAGTAGCGTCCCCGCCGGCTCCTCCTCGGCGCCGAGCGCTCGTGCACCCTTCTCGTCTGCGGAAACATCAGGCGGAGACTTCTTTGCAGCGTCAGACTCGTCGAACATAAAAGCCTTTATTTGCTGCGCGTAAGAATCGGCCATTGATTTACCGGTGTCGAATGCATCCTGAGACCTTTGTTTTACTGTATCCGAAGCCCCGACAACAGCCGGTTTTACTTGTTGAAGAAATGTATCGACTTTTTGTTTTCCAATGTCGTAGGTTTCCTTCGCTCTGTCCGTCAGTGAGTCTGCTGTTTTTCCCGTTGTTGCGGCGGCATCCTTGGACATCTCCCGAAGAACACTGGCTGCGTCCACCGATTTCTGATTTAGGAAGGCTACGTCGGATTTTCCGATATCGACAACTTCTTGGGAAGCCTGTTTCGCGCCATCCGTTGCTGCCAGAACAGTCGGTGTAAGTTCTTGAATGAACGCGCCAATCTTTACATGGCTAGCGTCCAAGGTTTCCGCAGATTTATCTGTAAAGAAGCCAGCTTTCGTTTTTCCAGCGTCAACAGCATCCTGAATTGCTTGTTCAGCTTTCGATTTTTCGGTGTACAAAGCGTCTTGAGCTTTCTGTTTCATATCTTCAGCTTTGACTTTTGTGGCATCGGCAGTTTCGTGTGCCTTTTCCTTCGCAGAATCGGCTGTCTCTAGTGCTTTTGATTTCGCAGCTAATACTGCCTCTTGAGCGCTGTGCTTAAGGTCTTCCACGTTGGTCTTGCCTGTGACCACAACCTCTCGAGACTTCTGGTCAACCATCTGGGCCTGCTGTTTTCCCGCCTCAAGTGCTTCCTGGGATTTCATTTTTAACTGGTCAGCAGCAGTCACCACCGACATCTGTACCTGCTGAAGAACGGACGCTGCTTGTGACTTCCCAGCATCAATAGTGTCTTGAGAGCTTTGCTTCAGATTTTCTGTTTTTTCTTTCGTTGCTTCAGCCGCTTGCAGTGATTTCTGGTGTAACGAGCCCAGTGTATTCTTCCCAAAATCAACTGCCTCCTGACTTGTTTGCTTTAGACCCTCAGCTTTCCCTTTCCCTGCCTCAACCACATCGCAGGACTTCTGTTTTAAAAACTCGGCCTGAGCCTTACCAGCGTCAAATGCCTCTACAGACTTGTGTTTAAGGGACTCAGCCTGAGCTTGGCCAGCATCGAGCACTTGCTGCTTTATGGATTCTAGTGACTGTTCGGTCGTTTGCTTCAGCGATTCAACCTGGGCCTTAGTAGCGTCAACCACCTCCTGAGGCTTCTGCTTCAGCGATTCAGCTTGTACTTTACCCGCATCAACCGCCTCTTGAGATTTTTGCTTTAGAGCGTCAGCCTCAGCTTTACCAACGTCTAGCACGTGCTGAGATTTCTGTTTCAGAGATTCGGCTTCAACACGACCGGCATCGAAAACGTCTTGAGACGTCTGCTTCAAGGAGACTGTCGCGTCGTGTGCCTGTTTAGACATCAACTCAACGTTTGTCTTGCCAGCGTCGAGCGCGCCTTGTGCCTTTTCCCTCAGCAATCCCGGCGTCTCGGCCAAGGCGGACACGTTCTGACCAAACTGGGGGACGGGGCTTCCGCTCGGCTGCTTCTCCGTCTCGGCAGAACTGGACACGGCTTCCGGACTGCTCTTCTCTTTGGACTTCTGATCTTCCGATTTTCCGAAGCGAAGCTTCTGCAGGAACGATTCGGTCTTACCCTTTTCGTCTTCGGTTTTTTTGACCTCGGGCACATCTGGGGTCTTGGGCTCTGTAGATTTCGGAGAAGCGGGCTTCGGCTGGTCCGTCTTGCCGGGTTTCTCGAAGAAGGCTTCCTTGGCCGCGCCCACGTTCTTCTTCATGGACTCGAAGACGCCCAGCACGTCCTCCTTGGCCGATTCCAGCTTAGACGGCTTCTTGGTGAGCGCGGACCTCGGCGGCGCATCGGGCGCGCCATCTCCCGGCCGTTTGGCGACGTCCTGGTCGACGGGGGTCCCCGGTTCGTGGCTTGTTCTTCCGGGGATCGGTTCAGGGGGTCGGGAATCGGGAGGCGGTTTCTCGGGACCCACGCGGGCGACATCTGGCTTGCACTCCTCTCGGGCATGAGGCGGCTCCTGGCCAGCTTCCTGCGGGAGAGAGACGAGACAAACGCCTTTGTATACAGTCCGCTGCCTCTGTCTCCCGCTGTTTGTTTGGATTGCCATGTCAGGACCCCACGGTATAATAAATCTACAAAAAAAAAAAAAGCCTTTTTTTTTTTTGCGAAAATTAACTATGCGTTGCTCAACGCTCATTCTCCGCCGAAAGGTAGCGCTCCTAACCAGGTGTCACAAGGCTTCAGCACGAATCGATATTTTATTCAAAAGTTATAAGTGATTTCCTGAAAAGTTCAATGGAGAAAATGGAGGCCATTTTCGCCCGTTTTCGGTTTCTGGCGCCATAGAGCATCATGTATTCGAGAGCTCCATCGGCCACCATATTCCCCCCCATTGACATTTTCAGAAAATCACTTATAACTTTTGAATAAAATATGGGTTCGCGCTGAAACTTTGGCATCTGGTTGTGACCTCTGGCGCTACTTTTGGGCGGAAAATGAGCGTTCGACGATGCCTATTATTTTTTGCAAAAAAAACCCTCCAAGCTTTTTTTTTTTTTTTTTAAGGGGGGGGGGGGGGGCATTTTGTATAATTTACCGGGACTTCTTGATTTTCCCAGCCTTCTGTACCTCCGACAGGCAAAATAAAATAATCGTGGGATAAAGGATGATTATCGCCGTCAAAATGCCGGAGGGTTTTCGATTTTCGCAGAAGTAGATACGATGCATAATCAAATTACACAAAAAAAAAAAAAAAAAAAAAAAAACGAGGACAAGGAGATGAGTGGAACACAGTACAGGGACGCCTCGCTTTGTCCTGTGTGCCATTCACCTTGTCCTCGTTTTTTTCTTTTTTTTTTTCTGTCTCGTTTTTATTTTTCTGTATATTTTTATTATGAATAAGAACCAACTAACTCATCTCGCAGTCTTAATAAATACGATGCTTTTAACAGGCCTTTTTGTCTGAACTGTGCGATGAAAGAATTGAAACATTTATACGACGGTTGATATAAGCGGCTCATCAATTCACCGGTAGCTCGAACGAAGTGTTTGGTCGCATTAAACGGGGGTATGGTAATTTTTCTAACTAAAATGCGTAAATTAGAACCCAGTTACAAACGTGTATGTGAATAAACTGTCGGTGGATGCATACTAAAAAAACAACAACAATAATATACTGCTAGATTAGTAAAAATAAAAAAAAAATGTCGCCCTTTGCCGCACTAGCGTAACAAAGGCAGTGTCAACACAAAATGTGACGTGTTAATGTGGAGAAACTGAGTAGACGTGTGGAGACTTGATGGCGCCAAGCGGCCCTTTGTCGTAAAAGGTAAGCGAGTGAGTGTTCCGTGGATGTCTTACTTGTGGATGCCATCTTCTGCGGTTGCAGTGTAAATGCGACTTTCTCGGAGCCTGTTGCAGTGCGTGCGGAAAACAAAACAATAGACCTATTGCTGTCTTATCCAAGTGCTCTCGTGCACGCCCGAGGAATTGTGGATACGACGTTCTGACTTCTGCAGCTGCTCTCCGTATACAGATCGCCTTACCTGGCCATTTATGCCTTCTCAATGTTCCGTTTTTTTTTTTTTTTTTTTTTTTTTTTTTTTATATAGCTTTAGTTCTCTATTTCTAATATTCCAGTGTAATTTTATTGTTTGTAAGTGTATTCATTCTGTTCTGCGTGCTGTATTCATTTACATGTAGTGTTTTTGTGCACATTTCGTCGTTTTCGACGCGGGTGTTGACGGACCTAACGACGCTGCTTACGCCGCTGCCGAGGTGAGTAGTACTACTGTTGTCGCGACGCTCTATCGCGCTATAAACGCGTCTATTTGACCCGCATCAGTCTCGAGCGAGAGAGAGCTGTTTTTGAATGTCAGTGCATATGTCATCAGTGTAGGCAGAGCAACGACGTAGCAATCGCGACGCGAAAGCCGACCGCGCCTCGATCTGGCCGACCGTGCTTGTTGTGTTGAATTACGAGCGTGGGACTTGTTGGGACTCTCGAGCACCGTTAACTTGCTGATGATGCAAGATTCTGCTTTGTCGTCATGAATCCTTTACCCTTCGAGCGCCTGCAAAGCCGTTCCAGCGTTCGGCGTATCCTACTGCGCCTTTCAACTACCGCCCGCGCAGCATTGCATCCTTCCGTCTGCGAGTGTCGGCGGTTCATCGTCGCGGAGGTTAACGTTCGCAGGGGTTCACAAAATGCTCGCGTTCAGGTCGCGACGATGAACCACCGGCGCTCGCGGACGGCCAACAGGCGCCAGAAAGGTCGCGATGGTATACGCGGGTGGCTGTTAACAGGCGCTGCGTATAGGTACGCCGAGCGCTGCACAAAAGTGAAACAGTATACAGTGGTTCTACTCGAGGCCACTTCTGGTAATCAAGAGTTGACAGAGCCCTGAGAACAGTATGGGGAACTATTAGTTTTTTTCTTTGTTTATTGATTTATTTAAACTGTCTCAATAGTACAAATTAATTATACTAAAGTGATTTTGAAAAAAACATTTAGAACCGCGCAACCATACATTTATATGGTAAGACAAATGTAGCAGAGGCCGTTTGCCACCATTAGGCCCGTTAGCCTTCACGAACGAGTTCAGTGCCCTGTGACCCGCTTGTCCGAAGCCATGTTTTTAAACTTCAGCGATCCCGTTGTCGGTGATCGCTCTGGGGATATCTAGTTCTAGGCGGCCATTTCCTTTCAGTTATAGCCTCGCTTGTGTTTTCATTTGACGTGCGTTTCCAAATCACGATGCAAATTCGTTCCAAAGGGGCCTCCTCGAGCAGAAGCCTATTCATTTGAGCGATGGGTATTCTGCTCATTCATTACTGCTAGGTGCAAACATATTTTAAAATGTTTGTGCTGCCCTCCGCGCAAGGCCAGAAGCGAGTATGTTTTCTCCAACGGAGTGCATATCGGACGCAGCCGGTTAACGTTTATGACTAGTGCGTGTTACTGGCGCTGTACGACGTGAATGGAAGACGCGGCTCGAACCTAATCAATTACTTGTTCACGCTTTATAATATCTGCGTAACTTCCGCGGTACGAAGGTTTCACACCGCTTCACTGGGAAAAAAAATCATGGCAAATCCCGTTATACAGGAATAAAATTGAGTTTCGCTAATCTGCAAAATAATAAAAGAAAGCTATAACATAAAATTACACGCTTAGAAAAACAAGAATAAATTCGCGCCGCTATAGAAAGTCAATCGACCAATTATTATATCTACATGCACGCATAGAAGTTGACAGGGTATGCGTACATACCTCTGAATTGACTTATAGCCCGGTGTACTTCTAAGGAAATTTAATGCAGAGGCACCTCTAGAAATAGCGCATCTCGTATATGTCAGTTTCAGAGATCCACACCGGCCATCTCTTGTCAGGGTTCCCTGTGAGCACGGCAAGCCTCGCCACACACCGTTCAATGTGAGGCGAGCCCTAGACGCCATCTATCCCGGCTAAACACGCCGAACAGTGAGGTCTGCAATTATTCCGCATTTTATATGTGTAAGGTGTATGCAACTTTGTACATTCACTGTGAGCTGCTACTTCCTTGTTCAGCATGATGGTTTCTCAAATAAGTAAAAGAGAACTGAGAGTTACTGAGGAGTGGAGGCAAGCTGCAAGGGCTTGACACCCAACATAAGGCCGATCAGAAGTCAGAATGTTAAGGGGAGAAAACTCAAGAGGTCATCTAAGCCACAAGGGGACAAGCAGAGACCGTATGCCGGAAAAGCTAGAAGTTGTGTCTGCTCTTAGACACAGAAACACACATCCTCATCTTAGGCAGCATGATTGCTATTATCGTGGCCAATGTGAGCTGAAACGCCATGACGTGTGGCGCCCGGCAGTATGAGAGCCGGATGACATATTTTTCCGAAAACTGTGATGCCTGCTCTGGCCAAGAGAAGTTCTTTCCTGCACTGCACCTATATGTCATCTGCTATTGAGGAAGTAAAGGAAATATCTTTTTGCTTAATCGAACCACTAAACCTGCGCAAGACCCGGCAAAAATTTACCGCATACTTTCTCGGAACAATTTTTATGATGCCCCGATTTATGATCACGCATTAATCGATCCACAGTTGAGTGGCTCAAATACAGATGTTTCCCAGCATTTGCCAGAGACACGTTAGAAACAGTAAAAAGTGCCGACAGAAGCGTACCACATATCTGAGCATTAAAGTATATCGGCTAAGGGCAATAGTAAAGAAGGTCATTAGCGATTATCAATTGCATAATTCATGTCTGCAGGTTGAAAGTCAACTTAGTGATGCACCTCACAAATTGTGTTTCCGAGCAAAAACGGACGAGGAGAACCGCCAACTCGTCGCAGCTGCGTCGGTGCATCCTTTCCAATTGGAGCGGGAGCTCAGAGAAAACCTGGCGATCCAGGTACCCATCCAAACAGTCCTGCCCCAATTCACAACTGCCATCTCAGTAGTAGACAACAAAGAAGTGGAGAATGGTGCAACAAGTGCAGGAGGAGAGCTGTCTTGGCCTGGCATACATCACGGTAGAAAAATGCGACAGGCGGCTCTGATAGTACCGCACGCTATGTGTCGTGGTGTTTCAGTTCCTATTGGCCACGATAGTACATAAAGTGAACTGCTACTGGAAATAGGCCGACTCTTAATTTTTATAAGCCCCGCACCTTTACGTGGGTACCATACTCTGTCTCACCACACATTGGCAGGCGGCATGAAGAGGTGGCAATGTATCGTCTGAGTACACTCCTCCTATAGGGAGCGGTCACGTACTTTGCTTCATTGCCCCGACTGGCTTGCGGGGGCCTCAGTGTTCACTTTTTGTCAAGCTATGCCAAAAGAGAGTACAACAGTTGCCCTTGAGGTTGATAATAAAGCATAAAATTATTTCTAAGGGGACCAGAGTCTATCCTGTGGTCCCTCGAGCAAGTCTGTTTTGAGACAGATGTATGACACATCAAACAATCCTACATCATGATTATGCAAACTTTTCAAGTCGAGCCTTAAGAGCTTTGACTTTGGGTGAAAAAAGAGCACCTTCCTACTACCACGGCATGGCATAAAAAAAGTCCCTCATTATCATGGTTGCTAATCCACAGATTTGGCATCAAAAGACCTTAACCTATAACAACAATCTCCTGTGCGAAAGGATACAAGTTGCAAAGTTTGCAGTCTGCGGCAAACCGCATCTGCTATCCGCCAAACTTGCCAAAAATTCATCCGTCGGTGTCCGTCTGTCTGCACATGTGTATCCACGGTCAAGCAAGACTCGGGGTATGATTTGCTAAAACTTCGTTTATTACTTAGCCAGCGGTGTCAGCAATCTCTAACGAAATTTCACACTTCACAAGAACAGCATTGCCATCTTTGCTGTCAGCTTCAAAAATTGTTCTTGTTGTATTAGAGCACATTTCTGCTGCATTTCTTGAAATTTCCAATGCTGTTTACATTTTTGACATCTTATATACCTTACATATTTCTTGGTTAGTACAAATAACAACGTGTGTTCATGCCATATCTAAGAAGCCAAAGTAAATCAGAAGAGGAGAAAAAAAATCTAATGAAGCTTTTTTTTTTTATACAACAGATGCTACAATTCTGTACAATATGATCTAAAAACCTACTGATCGCTGCATGAATGTCATAAACAAAATTACAGTGGAGTGTGCGGTACAAGTTGGAAGTCAGTGTCTGGAACTGCTTGCTTGGGCATGCTGCAAATGTGCCGAGTGGTTTTGTTGACTGTTTGTTGGCAACAGAGTTTCTAAAATAGATGGTAAACTGCTCAATATGCTGAAGTCTCGCTCATTGGTACACTTAAAGGTGCTTGCATGGGCTATGACTACCAAACAAAGCTGAACCTTATGAGGCCTTAGAACCTCCTCATAGTGGTGTGAAAGCATAGACCATTGTCTTTGCTCGAATGGTTTGGCAATCGCAGTAGCTGCCGTCGTGCATATGTGGGGAAAACTGCGGGTTGAGGGACTCGCCTTTCTTGTGACCAACATTATCGAACAGCCCTTTGCATTCATTCGTCAGAAAGGGAATTTTTGGTACACCCTGACATGAAGTTATTGCAGGTATATTATGCAGTCGAGCCCGATTACAAACTGTAAGGAGAACTTTGTTCATGTTCTGCTATGTGCAAGTAGTCTCATCATTCGGCAAATGAAGAGTGCAGCAGTCATGGCGATTCTAACGTCAGGCTCCTGAACAGTGGAGCTGTTACTGTGGGTTTGCTGTTGTCAACTCAGTAGACTTCCTTCGGAAATCACATGAAGAGTAATGACAATAACCGGCCACTACCACCATGTTGCGTTAGCCAGTAGACAAGAGCAAGGCCATCCCCTCCTTGAGCTTAGACAAAGGGTCTTCATTAATTTGTCGTCTTCTCAAAGGGGACCACAGAGCTCAAGGGCGAGTGTTGTAGCTGACATTGTGTGGGCGGAGGCTTCCTCTAAGAAAACCGACTGAACACATTTGAAACTGGCCGACACATCTGAATACTAAGCCTTTGAGGTATTTTGAATAAATAAATAAACCTCCAGACATTGTCCTGAGGAAATCGACTGGCTAGATCCAGTATACCTGCAAGAAATCTGACTAGGTGCGTCTGACGCTTATCTCGCGAAACTGACGGGACAGGTCTAATACGCCTCATAGAGACAGCTGTATTCTTCGCCATATCGGGCTGTTTACTGTTCTCGAAGAACCGACTCGTTTGTAAGCTTCGTATAGTTATGCGAAGCATTGTATTCCTTTGCAAAAGAACAAATGGTTGTACGAAATACTAACTGTCTTGAAATACATTTCCCTGTATTCACTGTACTCATTGATCGTCGGTTTCCCCTAGAGTTTTAGTAGATCGTTCCGATATCCCCGATAACGATACGATGCATGCGTAAAAGCGGCTGCGGAGCACCAAGTATCAATAGAAAGTTTTCGTAGATCGTTTTCGTCGTCCCGCAACGCTCTTCGCAACCCGCTGCGATACCCGAAACTTTAAGGCCATCGGCGCGCAGGCGCAGGTTCTTCGTTGCGGAGGGCTTAGCGGAGGGGGAAACGCGGACTACGAAAACTCTCTATTATCGGCGTCGTCGGAACGATCTACTAAAAGTCTGCTTACACTCAAGCTGTATCACTGTGCATTTTTGCTGAAACTGCTCGACAATCAATCGCATCGATGCATGCGCTGTTAGTACCTTTTTTGCGCAATGTATTTCATGTACAGTTGAAATAAACAGTTGTCTGCGTGAAAGAGGTTACTGTAAACGACTAAATTTTCGCGAATTTCGCGAATCGCCTACAATTCGCAACAAAATACGTCCCGCGAACAATTCGGGCAATATGTGAACGCTACGGAAGCTACACTCGATTCGCGAAAATTAGAACCCGCGAATAATTTCAAATTTTCAGCTTTGGCCCGATTCGCGAAAATTTGAGCCCGCGAAAATTAAGTCCTTTACAGTATCTTCTTTTGATCGGCTGTTGTTGTCGTCCAGTGATGGGCACATCGGAAGAAAGCGAAGCGAAATGTTGGCGAGCGCGAGGACCAAAGCAAACCAAAATACCATGGGGCCGTCATCTTTAAAAGGAAAAGAACAAAACTGAAACATTAAAAAAGTAAGCTATAGTTTCCCCATACCTTGAAAAAGGGCGCTTTTATGGGTTCAAAACATTAATTGAAGAACTTTCGCTTTTTTAAAGTTATTTTGTAGTGAACATAATTTAGATTGATCACATAAAATAGAATAATTTTGGTTGTTCTCTGGTCTATTATTGACACGATATCCTAGATCACGTGTTCAGCGATTATCATAGGCTTCCTGTACAGTGGCCAAACTTTATATGATAAAATGTGGCTGGAACGGCTTTGGAGACGTTCGAAGGGCAAATGATCCGGGACGAAAAAGCAGCGTCGCAGCGTCCTGCATCATCAGTAAGCTAACGCTGCTCGGAGTCCTGCGCTCACATTTCAGCAGAGCGCGCGCAGTCGGCCAGATCGAGGCGCAGTTGAGCTGACAACTGTATTATATTGCTAATGCCACATTCATTTGCTGAACCAAAATATGGACTGCACTTGTTAGTGATATGAAAAAAAAAAAAAGAAAAAGCACAATTTGAGCGCCTGTACCATCTTGTAGTATGTCCTCATTATTTCAAGATTGATGCGTTCAAAAAAAAAAAATATATATATATATTAATACCTATAAAAGTAGTTTAATTTACTCTAAGCGCGACCGATTCACTTACCGACTTAGCTTGGCCGGGTTGAGGGGGAGCGTCGAGACTGTCGGAAGGCACAGGACCTGCGAAGAGAAGGGGAAAAAAGAAGAAAAGATCAGGTTAGAGAGAATTAGCGGCCGTGGGAGAACCCAAGAAAATTCAAAATCATGAACTTAGTGACAAAAGTAAAACTGCCCAGGTGTTCCGGAAACGATAAAAAATTGCGCATATCAGTGCCATCGAAGTGCAAGGCAACACAGATTAAACCGGTCCAAAGCAAACAAAATAAAACCTACGTGCCAGAACACATCTTGATCCTTAAAAAAATAAATGGAACATCGTTAGCCGTAACTGCGCTCAATATACTGTTTGTAAACGGTGTATTAGGATCTGGACATATGTGCTTAGAAAACATGGCATTACTGTAAGGCTGGGCCAAAGTACCCGAGTAGACTATTTCAGTTATGTGATCGCTCCGAGTCATTTTGGAGCACTTCTTGAAGCCGCCACAAGTTCAGTTCGAGAGAGAGATAGAGAGATTTCGGAGCCCAAGCATACACTTCATACTGAGTCATCCCTCAGCGAATACTAATTTAAGACTCGTGTGTTGGCTTGTAAACCTTGAAAAAAAAAATGCTTTCTTTCCCTTTCCCCTTGAATGCAACCACTTAGCATAGCGTCGAGCGAAAGGTGAGAACGGCAGAGAGGAGCTTCACTTGCATGTCCCGCCTCTGCGCGGGGATGCTCGGGCGTTTCGCGCACTCAGAGCAAAAGCGCGTAACCAAAGCACGACGGAGGGTCGCGTGCTTGAGACCGGGCGTTGGAAAGACACGCCCTGCCGTTTTCATGTTAGGATTAAAAGTACAGGACATGACAACAAAAAGGTCGTGGCAAAGGCCATTGTTTTTTGTGTGTTTTTTTAGAAGGCTTATCCACACAGCCGTATTTCAAAGAAACGATGACTAGACATTGACAAGATTAAAACGGCAAGGAAGTCGTTCAGGTGTCCCACCTCGAGGGCGAGCTTCCTAGCTTCGATGACGCTTCGGCGATTCGTGCGCTTCAAGCGTGCGGCCAAAGCACCGTGGAAGGCAACGAGCGTTTGCTGGAGTTCTGACATCTGAAAGGAGACGCCCTGCGCTTCTCGGGTCGTCGGTAACTACAGGGTGATTCAAGGAGACGCCAGGCTCTTTAAATCGACCGCAAAATTCAGTTTCTTAACCTATCGCGTTACGATTTTGTGCAGCGTTGCCCACAGATGGTGCATATTTTTTTTATAAAATTTGCAAGGAGCGATTTTTCCTGAGGAAAAAGTAAAGAAAGGAAAAGGCTTAGCTCCTATGGAAACGCGGTGAAACCACCGGTCTTCAAACAACACGGCGCCGTTTCGAGCGGGAGACAAGAGATGGCACAAGCGGTCGCGACGCCAACTGCCGCCAACGAACGAGCATACGACGCCGAGAGCCGGCGTCTTTAGCAGACAGGGAACTGCAGTTCTTGTTGTTACCGCGCCTGTTTTTGTTTCTGCGACTGTCGCCGCCTGCGGAACGCGCGTCGCTTGAGTCGAAAAGATTGTCTGCTAAAGACGCTGGCTCTCGGCGCCATATGCTCGTTCGTTGGCGGCGTTCGTTGCGCCATCTCTTGTGTCCCGTGCGAAACGGCGCCGTGTTGTTTGAAGACCGGTGGTGTCGCTGCGTTTCCATAGGAGCTAAGCCTTTTTCTTTCTTTACTTTTTACTCAGGTAAGTTCGCTCTTTGCAAATTTTACAAAAAAAAAAAAAAAATGCACCATCTGTGGGCAACGCTGCACAAAGTCGTAGCGCGATAGGTTAAGAAACCGAATTTTCCGGTCGATTTAAAGAGCCTGGCGTTTCCTTGAATCACCCTGTAGAATGAGGGATATCTGCGAATGGTTATATTAATTATATAAAATGAAACCAAACGGTGTTCAGCCGAGATATTAAGTAAAATAATTTGGAGTAGTACTTGATTGAACGTTTTATTTAGGTTCTGCAAGGTTGCAATAAGACATCAACAATGAATTTAGACGTTAAACAAAAAAAATCTTTTATAATTTAGTTAAGCGTACGCATTTAAAACGCATTGTTTTATGAAAATGAAAATTCGTCGTGTAAGCAATAAAATGGCCTACTTAAACAAAATCCCGCTAGCTTTTATCGCACTGCTAAAGTTTATCTTTAGCAGTCTGTGCCTTGAAACATTTGGAGGTTTATCTAGAGCCGATAACTAAGCAAGCAATTTCACATTTAAAAAAAAATCTAACTTGTGGTACAGCCCAACTGCACATAATCAAGGTTATTCGTAACTGCTCTCGCTATGCCCAAGTACCCCTCCTTAAATCCCTAATTTGTAAGGAAATCACTACCAACGATGCACAAAACTCGTCAGGACGCAAGTATGTATCATGTAAGGCAAGCGCCAAAAAATGTTTTGCTAGTTTTTTTTGTTTTTTTTTTTTTTTTCGTTTTTTAACAGGGTAGGGTTGTCACATCAACATTCACCATTGTCTTCTTTTTTTTCGATACTTGACGCGTGCGCTTGCACACTCCCGCTCAGTGTTGCCGAATCGTGGGAAATTTCCCATATTGTGGTAAAAAGCATGACAGCTAGGGAAAAAGGGAAACCAGAATTTAAACACATGTAAAACGTGGGAAATATTTTTGAATAAACAAACTAACCCGAAATTTCGTAATTTTCTTATATAAGCTAAGAACAAGAGAAAGGGAGTGGCACTAGCTACTCAGACAGTTTGCTGTTTTGAAGAGCCAATCTAATTCATCACGACTTACATCATGTGAGTGCTGCAAGCAGTGCCGGTACAGTACTGCCGCTTCGCGCGCTTTCCTGGCCGCTAGGTACGCACACACGTCCTCTGTCAGTGCGTTACATCATGGACTGCACAATAGGTGTGATCCCTTTCACATCACGAAAACGAGCAGGCGATTTCAGTTTAGTTTAGTTAATGGCCCTCTTGCCTTCATTTAGTTCCCCGGGTTCATTCAACCAATGTATAGCGCGGAAAAGAAGGGAAGGGGAGACCAGTTTGCCGAATGTCAACATCTACATTTCGTAATTTATGCGATGCAAACTTTTACAAAACAAAAACATAGCGAGGCGTTGCCGCATTTAAATATACTTGGCGTCATGCGTATCTTAAAAACGACTTCTGTCACCAAAATGGTGTTGTGGGAAAAAAAGGGAATTTTCGCCGCTCGGCGAGGGAAAAACCGAAGTGGCAGTGCGGCAACACTGTTTCCGCTGTGGAAAAATAGCAAAACCCACTCCGCTGGGTTTGCTTTTCCACAGTGCAGCGGGGCACGGCGACAGGCGCACTTAACGGAACTTGTTACTCCGCCCGAACAGATCCCAAGAAGTTCGCGTGGCGCCCCCTTACGGCAAACCGGGGTGACGTCACGGCGAGGAGAGAATTTTTCCCCAACTCGCCCCGCTCGCCCTGGGGAGGCTGTGACGACGCTAGCTGTCGGTGCGCTCGTTTCTATTGAACTTTTTTGGCGTGTTTTTGTAGGAAGTGTAAATTTTTATATATGCCTTTATCGAGGTATGGTCTGTGCCTGCAGGCGAAACTTCAACCAACTTTTCAGATATGGTTGACAGAGCAGGCAACGTTTGAATCGCAGCTGGTACATGAAAAGGAAGAAATATGGCCACAATTCAAGGAGCATCGCTACAGATTTACATCTCACACATTTAATGCTGCTGATGGGCGGAATGAATCGGCAGATTCAGTATACTATTTTTTATCTCTGTTTTTAAACAAGATCTCCGAAGCAGAAAAGCTGCATGCTGCTCGAGCAACATGCTAAATACAGTCTGGGCCATGGAAAGAGAATCACAAGTAAGAGAGCCCAAGTGCAGGGGCAATGTAAAAAAACAAGGACCATTTATTATACACATTGCTCGCATTTGACCTTTGCTGGATTCGGATAGTATTTCAATGGACTACAAGGGTGGTATCCCTGGACTTGTTTATATCAACCCTCAAGTAATATATAACAAACGTAAGCGAAGGTGTCTAGCTCGTTATTAGTCCCTTAAGCCCTAAAGTTGAGATTTGATTTAAATCGAATTGTCCTCAAGCTAAAATACAAGAAGCTTTTCTCACGCAAACTGTCGCCCTTCACAGGTTCCACATTTTTTGCTACTAGTGCTGCATCTACAACTGGACAGACGTTCAAATGCTTGCTTTTACTCCTGTTTTCCTCCGTTGTCAGAAAGTCCAGCTGTAGGGAGTTTGGAGACTGAGGAAGCTTTTGGAGACCTGCAGCAGTGTCTGTTTTAATTGGAAATGACAATTCAGACAGAACGGTGTATTTTCCGAATACCCAAGGCTGGAATAAAAATGTCAGGAAAAAGTATAAACATTCCAAATTACGGCGCTATTGCTGTGCATATTTTGGGCAGTTCAATACAAATCATACAGGCAACTGGGGGTAATTCGGCCGTTTTTGCTGCTACCATACAAACTAATTTCCAGTAATTGTGCATCTAAGAAATATGCCTGCATACGTGTATATACTATATAATTAATTCATGAAGAAGCTACATTTATGTAAAACAACCCTGTTCCACGAGCACTTCAAAAATAATCAGACACAGGGCCTTTAAAACATCTGCGAACCAGCGCATGCAGAGTGGCAGCGCAGAGTCGGGGTCGCGAGCTAATTTGCCGACCACCCAAAGGCCCATGGTATGAATGCCACTTCAAGTGCCTTGAAGCGGGATGTAATATCGTCCTAAATCATGAACATGTAAGGAACAGAATTCCAGCGTCTGAAACACTTGCGCCACCGCTTCACCGATCCCTCGCAAAATTGCCTTATGTCATGTGGACGGACGGGGAGGTTCATCGGCGGAATTGCGTCCGCCGATAGCTTTCGGGATTTGTAACCCAATTTAAAAGATAAAAGGGACAAGCAGGCTTATAAAATGCACGGAAGCACGTCAATATCGGCCTAACTCAACGTCTTTTACACCGGGTAAACGAAGTCCAGCTCCTCGAAGAGTTTGCGGCGCACAACGCTCAACCAGGAAACCGGTGCTGG